CTGGGCCCCGCCCGCTAACATACTCAAACATATACATAACACATAACACATAATCTAAACATATTCTACTTCGGTCTTGTTCTAAGGCCTCGCCTATTTTGGGCCTCACCCGTGTCCTGCTACTGGTGAGTCATAGAACCCTATCCATGCTCCTGCTGATAGTGAGATACAAGCCCCTGCCCACACTCACCTCTCTCCTACCTCAGGCCTCACCCATGTCTGCTACTAATGAGATACGGAACCCCGTCTGTACTCTACTAGTGATGAGATACGGGACCTCGCCCACAATCTCCTTCCTACCAGTCACAAACAAGTATCACACAGACAATAAGTATAAACTTTCATGCAAACGTTCCTCGGGCTTACCCCGACATCGGACCTTGGTCCAGAATAACATACACATAACAACCTTCCTCGGGCACCCGCCCGGCATCGGACCTTGGTCCAAAACCACATAATAGAAAACAATGCCTAAGGATAACCCCCAGGTCTTCCTACTCATAAACTACATGGGTCGGCATTGTGACCTTAGACCCATTCACACGGTGATGAGATTCACCTCGCACCGCTGAACCCTGTTGATATTCCTCTGGCTGCTGACAGGAAATTCCCGAACTGCTGACCCTTCAGCTTCCCGAACGACCAATACCAAACATCACTTAGCTCAACACAATAATCCTTCTTAGGGTAAAATGACCATTCTACCCCTTAGTCTAACTTGGTCCAATCTAAGGTCCACAACTAAGGCCGAATACTAGATAAGCTTCCCAAGCCCACTAGTAGCCCACTAATGGCCCAATTTGCTTAATCAGGCTCAATCCCTCTAATGGGCCTTACCTTAAGCCCAATTATCTTTTTGGCCCACATCATATGAATTTGCTGGCCCACTAAGGCCCAAAATCCAAAGCATGGCCCAATTCGAGGCCCAATAATACGAAGCCCAAACTAACAGAGTACGCGGGGTGTACCTCCACATACGCTAAGCGTACTAGGTAAGTGGTGAGTACGTTGGGCGTACCTGCACATACGCACACCGTAACCCCCATGTTAAGTCCATTTCACATTAAGAGCTTAATACTCTACTCCGGAGGCTACAAACATAGATACAAGTGCTTTTTCATGTCTTAATCCATAAAGTCACTAACTTCGAGACTTAACTCAGCCCAAACAAGCCCAACCTCCCAAAATGACATTCTTCTTCCATAAGAGGGCTAGATCTCATGCATGAATCCATTACATCATTCAAGATGGAGACTTTACTGCTTATGCGACCCTTTTTGCTCTGAGGGTGAAAACCGCAAGCTCACAAACGGAATTTCATCATAAAGGTCCAATATTAGGACCAAAACTAACTCCAAAACCATACTACACTAGATCTAAGCACCCTTAAGTAAAGTTATGAACTTTATACCTCCAAAGAGTTCCAAATGAGGATGGTATTCCAGATCTACGAGCTCCAACCTTCCAGGTTCTTCCTTGCCAACTCCTTCTTTGCCTCTTCCTAGCTTACACCACCCCACAATGAGTTTATTGAAGTCAAAATCGCCCAAGTATGAAGAGATGAGGAGTTCTAGCATTTCACTGAGATTGGGGGACAAATAAAGAGGCTATGGTTTGAGCCATTATGTTCTGTATATAGTGGCTTACTTTAAACTTAGGGTTTCTAGACACTGGACGTATGTTCGGCGTACCCTAAAAGCACTCGCGATCTTATGACTTTATACGCTGGGCGTAACATAGCCTTATGATGGGCGTGCTCGTGCGTTCACCACCTTGCATGCATGGTCCTTCTTTGCCAACTATTCCATTAAGGGACCATTAATGTCAATAACTTTAAAGTATTATAACTCCCTCATTCTAAGTCCATTTCCTGATGAACTTTATATCCATGACAAGGTAATGAGAAGCCCTATGCTTCTAGCGACACACCCCGGCCCAAAACCTCTCGAATACAACTCAAAACCCATAAAAGACCAAAATGCCCCTAGCCTTGGCCTCTAAAATCCATAAACAGGTACTTTCAGAACAGGGTGTTACAATGAACCTATAAATAAGATTTATCAATGATTCAAAGTCGTTATACTGATTGATCTACTTACAGAAATAATGTCTAGGTTGTGATTTAGTGAGGTGTTTAAAGTGGGATTTCCAAAATATACTTCGTGTACCAAACGAACCCTACCTCCAATATGATCCTACCTGGTTGTTCCTTACTTGATAGATCATGAAGTAGAATTTGTGTTAATGATGAATCTAGACTAATAATTAGTCGTAATAAATATTAGAATAAAATCTAGTGGTAATAATACTAGGTTTCATCGAAGGAAATCATAGTGTTAAGAAGCGAAGCACTGCTCAAAGTTTGAGTCATCACTTTCACAAGTGAGTGCATAGTTACTTTCATGTTAAACATACATATGAATTATTTTATATAAATTATGTGCTATGTGTGCATACATGTATACTTGCTATCTATGTTGGATGAAAGATTTTATACATGTTTTAAATAACTTAAATTGTATATGTATTTTATATCTATGAATATGTTGGGTAAAACATGTGTGGATGAATGATGAGATATGAAAGATGATATGAGTGAACATTGGAAGCTATAGACTTAGTGCCTAATAAATAACATCGGCATCTATAGACTTAGTGTCTTTTACATAAACGCTTGTAGCTATGGACTTAGTACCTGTTAGATAAATGTTGGTAGCTATGGACTTAGTACCTATTAGATAAACACTAGTAGCAATGGATTTAGTACCCGATGAATGAACTTTAGCAGCTATGGGATTAGTGCTTTACGAACGATCATTGGCAGCTATGGACTTAGTGCTTGTCATATAAACCCTGGAAGCAATTGACTTTGGAATGAACGAACGTAGGATAAATGATTATTAGGGTACACCCTTAAGAGTAAAGAAGATAATGGGGATTGGTAATTGGGTTAATTGTTTGATGATGAAGCATAATAACTATATTAGTGTGGGTTGAAAACCCTATGTACTTACCAAGTTTCCCAACCTGACCCAATTAGTTTATTTGTATCACAGGTGTCGATATGAAACGACTTTACACTAAGAGATTAACGAGATGTAGATCGTTAGTGTAAATGAATATAAGGTCTGTTTATGCTTATGTTTATGTATTGACGATGACATCTCAATGTTTTAAAATGAAATAAAATACATTTCTTCGGAAATGCTTTGATAAAGTATTTATCATATATTCTGGGAACAAATTCCACAACATTTTTAATAAAAGGGGTATTCTGGTTTTTATAAAGCATAAACAAAATCGGTCATTTATGGCCATGAAAACGGGGTGTCACAGTCGGTATCAGGGCATTAGTTTAAGCGAACTAGGAATAAGGATTTATCTCTAGACTTATACTTAGAATGTTAAGCGATGATCGTGAGGAGTGTGTCTAATATATTTTAGGAAGTACACCTGAATAGACACAGACATTTGCTTAATTAGGAAAGATGCCTAAAATGCGTTTATGTGCTAAATGATTTATGATGCTTTATGTTATCGTTTGATCAGATCTATGGTCTGTTGCCGACCAGATTTGGAAACTTTATGTGTTCAAATTTATATACGTTTAAATACAGTTCTAGAACTGGCACGTAACTTTTCAGGTAATCAAGAGAATTACGCGTCTAAACCTTCTTTATCTATATTCTCATCTCATTGCACTAACACTACTAGAAAAACATCCTTTTACGATGCGCAATGTGTGTCATAAAATGCTCAGACAATGCGCAAATGCGTGTAAAGGAAGGCTCTGTCATAACGAGAGACGACACGCTTTTGCGTGTCGTCTGTTTACGATGCACATTTATGACACACATTTACGACGCGCGGTTACGACACACAATGCGTATCTAGGAAGGCCTTGTCATAAAGGAAGACGACACACATTTGTGTGTCGTAATCTTACGATGCGCGTTTAGGACACGCATTGCATATCATTAACACCCCGGTCATAAATGAATATGACACGCATTTGCGTGTCTTAAACTTCAACATCCATTTACGATATGCATATACGACGTTTCTTTAATATACTCATTTACGCATAATACAAAAATATATAAACAAATATATATCAAATCAATTTCATCCAATAACATCATGTCAAAAAATTGTAATACATCAGTATTAGAGGATCTAATTGTGCATTGTTATTAAGAGGTTTTCCCTAACTATATAACCTTATACTACATTTCTATTAAGGGCACCTTCTTGTTTTAAATACCATGTTAAAAAAATTCTATATCATTGGTTTGCCACCGATTCCTTTCGTGAATAAACAGATGGAGTGACTCCGCCTTTTTCGGTAGCACATACCGGTTCCTTTTGTGAATCCACTTAGGTTGATCAAGCTGGTTACTAATTCTGATATATTTATAGTTTATACTTACTGAAACATGTCCATGGACAATCATTGTTAAGCCTTCCCCTCACTAAGCTTCCGAATTACCTGAAAATCCAATTGAAATAAATTTCCCAAACAAAAATAAATAAATAAATAAATTGGTCAATTACAAAAGCGTAAATAAAAATACTTATAGTTCCAAGGGTTAGAAGACATTTGTTAATGTAAGATCTTTCCTTTCTCCTCAATCCAGTTGATTCAGTTTTTAAGCTTTTTGTCCATTCCTTTTCCGATTCCACCACACCAAACACTACTTAAGTTTTTATAAAATGGAAAAAAAGTGTAGAGTCATACTCCATAAATGGTATCTGTTGATGGTGTCCTAAGAAGATCAGTTATTAATTCCAACTGATGAACAACAAGGTCAGCAATAACTGATGTTGAATGTGGGAACACTGTAGCTTTTGCCACTGGCAAGGTACATACATATATACACTCACTTTTTATTTTAAGAGAATATAATAATAATGATAAAGAGATAGGATGTGTATATGATCATGTAATATTCATAAGACATCTAAATAATATGAAACAGTGTAATTTTTAAAAAATAAAATTACAAACTTGTACATGATGAAACCAGATTAACACAAGAATGTATCCTTATAGCCCAAAGAACATAGTGCCACCTCAGCGTGGGTTTTTTCTTAGATTTGTTTTCACTTTCCTTGTCATCTTGTGGCTCTAGATCCTTAAAAAGGCTCATGCACTCCTCTTTCCTATACATAGAAATAAATGGTACCTGATAACAAAGATGTTACAAGTTACATAAATCCCAAGAAGATTTGGTCCTTTTACAATAGGGATCGGATTGAACACTTACATCTAATTTCTGGACATGCATAAATTCTAAAAACCGCATGATGTCATCCTTAACTGTTGCCAGGTCATGCCCTTCTTCGATTGTTCTATTGCCTCCTTTGCCAAACAATACCACACCTGTTTGAAGTTGATGAAGAATCCAACTACTCTCCTCTTCTATACTGATTTCATCTGTTGGGGGAGGACCAGTGCTTTCCTCATATATCTACAAAGACAAAAGTTGAACTACAATTAATACATAATAGATGGTGAAATATATAGTATGTAAATGTGAATATTCTGACATGGATTCTTTATGGAATATCTATCTCCCGAATGTACTCACCTTTTTTAGTTTTGTATTTATTGGAAAGAATGGTGGGTTCAAATTCATCTTCAAGCCTACTTTCCTTCCCTTCACCATTATCATCATGTCTACTGATTCGTTCTAGTCCTAACTTGCGTTGCCTCAATAGCTCATCCACATCACCAAATATATCAAGAGCTTCCGGTATTGCTCAAGGAACTCACAAGCACTAACAATAATATGTTTAGAAAATATATAACCTGTAAAAAAAATATAGCAAGATATGATTGAAACATTGGTACAACTCTCTAAGCACTTTTAAGTGTCCAGATAGTTATGTTTATATATATCCAGAACCTTCTGTGTTGTTTTCAAAACAAAAAGGAAGGTAATTGTTTTTGTTTTTACCTGATCCAAACACATTGCCAATAGCTTTTGGATCTCTTCATCCGATACAACACTTACTGCTGTTGTGGCATCTGTATTTATCACTCCCTGCCTAAAATACAAACTAACTTTTGAAATACCAACCTAATGCGCCTTACTTTTTTTTAATTACCCATAATACTAACTTCCTTCCATTTCTTTTCTTATAATAGCAACGTACTTACAGTTCTTTATGTTGGATTAATCTCTAAGTCCATAACTATATTTGGTATGTACTTGACCCGACCCGGCGTGGTCCATTTGGGTTGCACTTCACCGACACAATTTATATGGATAGTCATTTGAGAATAGTATATTTATGATTAATATTAATATGTTATAAGTTCTAATATATTAATATGGAATCATATTATTTAATTAGTATTGATCAAGAATTAATTTAGAATTAATTAAGTGATCAAAACGAACTAATTAAATATGGGCTCTTATATATATGGAATGGGCCAAGTTCATTTAGGTTGGGTTAAGCTTTCATGGATAGTCCATGGAGTGTTTCACCCAAGGATCATATGAAATGAAAGGTCATGGGTTTAACCCTAGTCTCCATATTATATAAAGATGTTCTTGGTTGGTGAAATTGGCACTAGTGTGGGTACACTATGAAGGGCTAGCCGATTTCACTAAAGAGAACCAAGTGTTCATATTCTCTAAAGTCTTCCAAGGTGTTTTGGTGATTTGTGATTCCACTTGAGGCTTCCACACTATTGGGGCTAAGCTCTTAAAGCTTGAAGACATCAAGCTACATCAAAAGGTATGTTATCTAACTAGTACTTTGTAGTATAAGAACTTCATAATATGCTAGTTAGGATTAAAGCCTTGGAAAGATCTTATTTGCATGTATAATAGAGAAAACATAGATCCAAGGTATTTAGGGTTGAATGTACACTTAGGAGTGTTAGAATGCTCAAAACCCAACAATGGTATCAGAGCCATGGGTTGTTTTCTGTTATATTGATGCAAATATTTTACTTTCAAAGTTGAAAAAAAAACATGAAGTTTGTCAAATTTTAAGATAATTACATGTTCTTGTGAAAAACTAGTTATTTGTAAAATTTGAATAATTTGCTATATGAGTTGAATTAGGTCAAATTTAGTAAAAGATAAAATGATATGATTATTTTATTAGTTTTAAAAGTTTGATCTAAAGAGTTTTATTTTTTGAAACCTCCATAAGTTATGGATATGAAAAGGTTTTACAAAAAAATTGATTCAAAGTTTTTATGGAGTACAAAATTTGGTGTTAATGTTTTAAAGAATTCCATAACTTAAGAATAAGTTATGGATCACCAAAAGTTTTTTGTGTTACCGTGTTTTATGAGTGAATTTAGATTAATAAAAAAAAATTATGTGATAGTTGGTTTTAATCCAAATTAATATAAAAGAAGTTCATAAAATGTGTTTATGTGACTTAAAAGTCACATTTATGAATCTTAAAACTCATAAAAGTTGTTATAGGTTACAAAATGAAGAATCTTTTTCATCATTAATTGTATTTATGACTCCATAACTTGTCCTCAAGTTATGGAGGTTCAAGAGTCACTTCATTAAAGAATAAAGTGTGTAACCTTAATAATTCCATAAGTTATAAAATAAAGAAAAGTTAATTCTTTTATTATTTTAAAGTCTTCCATAACTTGTCCTCAAGTTATGGAACATGAAGAGTTTTTGGATTAAAACTACTTTAAACACATAAGTTATGGAATTAATTAGTTTTGAATAATTTCAAAACTTGCCCTCATGTTTTTGAATTTGAAAAGTGTTCTCTTATGAATACTTTAATTCCAAGTTAGCCCTTAGAATTTTAAAAGTTAAAATTCAACCCTTATACTTTATAATATTATAAGTTAATAATATTTATATATATATATATATATATATATATATATATATATATATATATATATGTATGTATAAGAGTAAAGTCAGGACTATAATTCTCCCTTCATTAAAAGTATTAATGATGAATACTAAGTAACTAAACTCTTAATAATACCCAATCTTAGTTACTTAGGAAAATGTGAATAAGGTGCTAATCCATGAAATTACACTTTGCACTTTGTTTAAGTCGGTTAGTGGAGCGTGTGTAGTTAACCGGCACACTAACTCGTATTTAACAAGGTAGGCAAAGGGTAACTTAATGTTTATCATAGTATTGATGGAGCGTGTGTGGTTAACCAACACATCGATTGAGGGGTAAACACTTAAGGGTACCAAGTAATTTGCATGGTTACTTCACACCTTGTTTTGTGATCCTCGGCATCCCAGTCACAAAACCTGAAGGGCACAATCAAGATTGAAACATGCCATTGAACAGTTCAATGAATCTCAAAAGAATCTAGGAGTTTCAAAACCAATTAAAACCTAATAATACATTTCGTTTATCTTGGTGGAAATTGGTGAACCGTCATTCACCTACCTTCAAATATTTTGTAGCTTGGATTACGGCATCCCTCTTCTGAGTTATAAAATAGTTTGTAGGGTCCTAATGTTAATATCTCATATTGGATGTTATATTAAGGACTTTTAATCAACTATCTTGAATATCTCCCAAAAGATGTCTGGTTTAGACATCTATCATCTTCCCAAATCTCTTAAAACAAGCTTTCCTAAATGAAGATGATGTCCTTTGGAAATCATACTTCTTTAACCTCCTCAAATTATTCTCCCTAACCCACAAGTTCAAGGTCACTCAAGCCCTACTGGCAAGGCAAGGTCTAGGTGTGATCACTTCTTGGAGATGTAGTCACAGACTGACAAGCCGTGAGAGTTGGGTGTCAAAGTCTTGAGAAAGTTGGTGGTCCAACAACTTTCTAAGTCACATAGTGAGTTCTTTTGGAACACCTATGAAACAGACTATGACAAGACCCTTAATGATGTTATCTATTTGCTATGATCAACTTCCTAAACCTTTATGGACATTGACAATGATGACATTGGATATCTAGTAAAGCTCTCTCTTCTTAGTGGAAAGGGATCGACCATAGTCAAATTGGTTGACCAAATGGTAAAGAGAAAGGCCAAGTCTGAGATAGTCATGTGTACCATTATCAAAGGGTTCATATGTTTATATTGCCAAAGAAAGGGGCATTATTTGCAAAGCTGCCAAACATACCTAAGGATGTTAAAGTCAATAAGTTTGACACTACTTCAGGTAAAGTCCGCTATCTAACTCTGCTAAGTTTCTATTATGAGATTCTTGATACATGATGTGACTGGGTCACATGGTGATGTTTAAGAATCAAAGAAAAGTGAAGAAACTTAAAGAAAGAATATGTTGAATCTGATCGTGTAGATGGATTTCTATCGCATAGTTTGAAGATTGGACTCTTAAGTTACTTCTTAGGAGTTATGAGATATTGCGTAGGAATAGATAACAAGAAATTTTCATATGGATTGTAAGGATAAGTTTTTCCGCAAAGTTTTAAAATAAAAGAAAAGTTTTTTGATTTTATTTATTTTAAAATATCCTTACAATGGCATTTGAGGAAAAATTGTTGCTTATATGATTCCTTTAATAGCAAAAGTGGAAATATGAAATTGATTCTTTCAGTTCTGGTAATGTCTAAATTTACCAAATAAGGAAAGATTCTCATCACCCAAGTTTCAATTGGACCGGAACTTCAAATCATGCAAGTTGTATGGCATGATGAATGAGAACTTTCAAGTATTGGAAAAATTAAGACTAATTACTTGTTCACATGGATGTGTGAGTCAGGTAATGGACTAAGGGATCGATTACACATTCTTGTGCACTGGTCAAGTCCACCACAAAAGATCGATAAGATTATTCATCATAATTTACTAAAGCTCAGTAAATATGGTTATACTTACAAGCTTAAGTGTAATTCTGAGACATTGGAAAATGTTCCAATGTAAAGCAAAGCGAATAAGAAGAATCAACTTAGGTAGAAGGATAAAAGTTTCTCAAATATGAAAAGATGGGAGAGTACTTTAGTATCAGTTTTGTGATCATCTTAATGATTAAGAAACCATAGAACAATTATTTCTCTAAGGGAATCTTAGTGCATTCTTATGACTAAGAAGAGGAATCTTGAATTGTTGAAATGGTTAAGTCAAGAAGATGAGTCGTACTTCATTCCAATATAAGTCTTAGAGTCATACTCCAAGATTGTAATTTGAGTGATATGTCTTAAAGAAGGTTTAAAACACTTGTCAAATGTAAGAGTAAAAGTTTCCTACCCTTGTACATTTGAAATTGGTAAGTTGTGATGTTTTGGATAAAACAAAGACCAACTAAGGCCAATTGTGTGAAGTGTTTGTCTTGATTCGAATCTGCACTATCTCTTGGATGTTTGACAAGGGAGTCTTATAGGTCAAGAGGACAGTGGGAGTCTTAAAGGTCTTGAAAGTCTCAAGAACTAATCAAGAATAAAACCTGAAGTTCTTCACTAGCACACGACTTGAGGTTTATAACCTATCATGTTGACATAATCTGTGTCCATTCCAGTTAAATTTGCTTTGCATACGAGTTCTTAGAGTTCTCAATTGGTTGCACAACAACTTGGAAGCAATGGCAGGCCCTTGAGCTGCCAGGTGGCAAGAAATCAAGATTGAGTTCAGTCCATATGAGTTTGGATTTGTCATTATCCTTGTCTTGTGACTATGGTTTTGACAATTCACATGGATAAGAACACATACACCAGTAAATC